TCGCCAGCCACCTGCAGTCAGCAAACACCCTTATAGGTCGCAGCACGAAAGGCTGTAACGAAAACAGAAAAAACTGGAATTGATTGTACCTCAGGAAGGCTGCCTAGATGCAAAAAACGGGGGAGGGGGGAACGCTATACCAGCAGTCAGTAATTAGGCACATTCCCAGCCCCCACGCTTGGGGATCCAGCCGGCTAACTGGAAAATGGAGACGGCGCGGGTATTGCACTCCAAGTACAGAGCATAAGTTGCACCTATGCTAACGCACAAAGTTTGCTGAACAAACTAGACTACCTGCGGGAACCAAGTAAGGACACTTATGCTCACCTTATCGGTGTAACTGAGACACGGGCTTCCCCTGATTTGTCAAACCAGGAGCTGGCGGTTGTTAATAACATGCTGTTTAGCAATGACAGGAAGGCTGGCAGGGGTGGGTAGCTTTTTATGTCAGCTCCTCTCTCTCAGCCCACCAAGTCCATGTTCAGGATTTGGAATGCCCCGAAAAGTCCATTTGGTGCTGTCCAAGGCTACAAATTGCTTGGCAGGAGTCAATAAACGAAAGTCGTCCGCAGACTTGCGGCATGACAACTAGATGCTAAGGGCAATTAGTTGCTCTCCTAAACTGCGACACACGCTGATTTTAGAAGGCTTTGACCTACCGAAGGCCAGCTCTGCATACTTTTAGCGGGAGTGACGATTCCATTGAAAGGGGGCACACGGAAAATGTGAAAACGGTGACGCGAGTCAGGTAGGCGTAGACCCCATCTCGCTTAGACTGCGTCTTCACAAATGAAGAATTCCTGAAAGGCAACCTGACAATCCTTCCTCCTCTGCTCAGTAGTGACCACGTTGCCATCGGCTTCCAATTTGTCTGCGAAATCAGTCTAACCAGACCTTTCAATGAATATCGTTGGAACTTCAGACAACCTAACACTCCGGCTCTTCTAACCACATTAGAACAGACAGATTGGGAGGCCAACTATGCGTGGCAAGGTATGATCACCCATTGGAAATTCATACTTGACAAGATCATGCATGAGATCAGTCACTCTGTTCCACTTTCGAGGCCGAAGTGCCTCAAGTTACCTCAGGTTATAAGGAACCACACTCGCGAACTACTTAAGTTAAAAAGACATCACTGGGCTGAACACAAAAGAATTCCACCGAACGTACTTGCAGGCAATTCAAACAGACAGGAAACATGTGCACTAGGGCTTTGAGAGCCGATCGGCAGCGGCATTAAGTCAGGCTTACAAACGTGTTTGTGTCTAACCCGAGAAGTCCCTTCCATTACGCTGGTTCATTCCAGCAGGTTGAAGCGGGAGTCACTCAACAACTGGGTGCGGACGGACTGACTATTAGAGACACCAAAGCAGCTGAGCCTTTGGCTGACCAGTATCTGCAAATCTTTTCGTCATCGTCCACCTACTCAGGAGCCTACAATTACCCCACTAACGAAGTAAGACTCTCAGTGGTCGACCTAAGCGTTGAGCTTTTACAGCGCAAACTGCTACTGTTCACCTGGGACCCCTCCCCAGACCACTTAAAATCCATCCGTTGGGAGGGAGCTTCAATCTTGTCCGAACCCTTAAGTAAGTTATTTAAGAGTTCTCCGAGTCGGAGGATAGTACCCGACTCTTGAAAGCTGGGCAACATAACGCCAATTTTCAAAGGGGCTCAACGAAGCAATCCAAAGAAATACAGATTGGTGACACTTCTACGTATTTCGTCCAAAGTAATGGAATCGTTGATATACTATGAACCGAGGGATTACCTCACAAAGATAAATTTCTTTGCGCTCCAACAACATGGATTTCGAAAGGGATACTCCTGCATTACCAATTTGCTAGCATTGTTGACAGTCGAGGACGAATTGACGTTATCTACCTAGAATTTGCTTAGGCGTTTGATCGTGTTAATCACCACTGTCTTATCGATAAATTAAAATAATTGGGATTCGACCTCCTCTCATTGACTGGTTGTCTTCATATCTACGGGGCCGTTCATTTGGAGTTTGGGTGAGTTTCTCTGTGCCTAAAGAAACACAGTGTCCGAGTGATGTTACCAATGGTTCAGTACTAAGGCCTCTCCTTTTTCCAATATAGTTAAACGACTTGCCTCAACAGGTCTTTTCCGAAATCCTTCTTCTTGCCGACGACGTGAAACTCTGGAGGGAAACCAAAAGTGAAGAAGACAGTGCTTCTCTACAGGAAGACTTGATTCGACTTCACAGTTGGGCAATCAGCAATGGGCTTGCATTTATTCCTGAGAGATGCAGGGTAATACACGTAAAACATGGTGCATCTCACGTATATAGCCTCAACGGCATGAAACGTGAAGGAGAAGGATTTGGGTGTGTCGGTTTCCCAAGACTTAAAATCCTACGCCAGCTGTGACAGAAATGTACTTGGTGAGAACCCGACATTAGTAGCTCTTAGATGAATTTTCGGGCAGTTCGATCGTAGATGCTTCCACCAAATTTTCAACAGCTTCATAAGGCCGTACCTGAAGTTCGGGACCATGGTCTTCCTTCTTATCCCCAGAAGAACGAAATAGCTTAGAACCCATCCAGAGGCGTTCTACAAAATCTGTTCGAGGACTTGGGTCCAAAACGTACGAAGAACGGCCGGTTGCGCTGGATCTGTATCCTCTGGAATACAGAAGGCTAAGGGATGACTTTATAATGACTTACAACATTCCGAGCATGCCTGGCCACCCACTCCACTACTTATTAAATCTTAGCTGCAGTGCTAATCTTAGAGGACATACACAGAAACTAAGCGTGGAACATAGCAGGCTGCATGTCAGGCAAAGCTTCTATTCCCTAAGAGTTGTTAAACCCTGGAACGCTCTTCCTGAAGATGTGATCCAGGCTACCTCGTCTGAATCTTTTAAATGCCAACTGGATACCCACTTGATGTGTGTCTGGGATCTGACCAGAACAACGTCAATTTTCACATTTTGATCGCCACTTTTTCACCTTTTTTTACTTGTACAACAGGTTAACAACCACAAGGAGTAGTGATCCACGGACTGTAGACGCGGAATCCAGTTGAGCGAAAGATTCTTCTCTTCCGTCAACGACCGTTTAAACCATTTGATAAAAGCGTTGGCCCCATGGAATTGTGCTGAAGTGCTAACCATGCTCACATGCAACTACTTCACTCGCTCGCCGAAATTAAGTCAACTTCCCGAAGGGTGAGACCGTGGTATCCCCTCACTAATATTCAGTACAGGCGCCAGAAGAAACTCGTGCAACTACAGACCAATAGCACTGTTACCCACACTATCTACGGTGCTAAAACGCCTGGTTGCAGATGTTGTTTGAGACTACATAAAAGGAAAGAACATCATTCATCTCACCTAGCATGGTTCCAGAACCAGCAGATCACGTGCCACAAACTTGATGATGGCTCAGAGCGACTGGACCGCTAGACGGGGCGACAAGCAAACAGTCCACGTTATCTTCTTGGACTAGGCCAAAGCCTTCGATAGCGTCCCACACTACACCGTGCTTGCCAAACTTGCAAACGTGGGCGTCACCAAACTACTCTTAGCATGGTTTACAGCATACCCAGAAGACAGAAAATTCTGAATTAAAGTAAACAGAATTCGGTCAACCCGGAGGAGTGCGAGACTAAGGATTTCTCAATGAGCAATCCTTGGGCCATTGCTATTTTTACAATTTATCAGTGACCTTGCGACTGAAATCTCTTCTCCTATCCTCCTATTTGCCGACGACATCGAAGTATGGAGACAGCGGTCAGCGAAAAGGATCCAGGACACTCCAAGACGATGTGCAGCAGCTGGAGTCCTGGTCAGACCCTAACGGTCTGAGCTTTGACCTGGAGAAGTGCAAGACGATATATCTTCCCACAGCAGGGGTGGTGCAAATCAGCCACACTCTTAACAAGCATGCGATCACCAAGGTACCCACAGAGAAGCACCCTGGACTAAACTTTCCGACACACTAGGTACTAGTGCTAAATATACAGGGACGGCAGCAAAGGCGAACGCCATTGTTCACGTTCTAAGAAGACGACTTGGATCGTTAACTCCGGAATTATTCCTTATGGTATTTAAAACCTATGTTAGACCACAAATATAGGCATTCGACACGATACCAACCCCACTGTTAAAGGGACAGCAATACACTCCAGGAGGTACAGAGAATAGCAACAAAGTCGGTTGTCAGACTAACAGACACAGCATCCCAGACAACTCAACTTGTTCACACCAAGCTGTCAAAGGGAAAGAGGTTATCTAATGGCAGCCTACAATGATCATTCACCAAGTGGACTACCCAAATAGGACAACGTTATCGGTCAAAAACCGGCAGTTCCATGGGAACACCACCTGCACACCCTACCATAGGGCAAAGACGAAAGTAAAATCCAACTTCTCCTACAGAATATGTACTTTGCTGAATGGCTTGCCCCAGGAAGTAGCCACAACTACATCTGTCGACTCCTTCAGAAGATTATTGGATGAGTATGTGGGCAAAAATGGCCTACCACAAACATTTTTCAGTAGCAACTTATGATGCGCTCTTTCATCCCTGTATTCCTGACACTAGCATTTGCAGTAAGACGCATCTCTCCCCCATATTATTACCAGTAACACCTATATTTTCATGAGTACTTTTCACTCCTCCTTTTCTCATTCCTCACACCCTATTTCTAACATTTTTAAAGTGACACTTAACACTTACTTGCAGGTCCTTACAACAACAGGACTTGTAAACGGTTGATTAGTCTTATCAGCAGCTCCATTGTTCCCCCTCCCAAAGAAACAAACTATACTACGGTTTGGAAATGAAATACCTTCAAATAGACAATCACTGCCTTCAAAACCACAAGCAGGAAAAAGCAAAGACTTCTGTTACCGTCTAAGGAGTACAACCTAACAAAAAGAACCAAGCCTCAAGACCTAGAAGCTAGAGCTCAAAAATACAAGTTTCCTCTACTCGTACTATTGTTGCGGGATGTTACAGGTCGATTGTCCTCTGTCAAGGTTAGGCGCCATCCTCATTTCCACAGACTTTACCTTGTTTCTGCTTATACGAATTTTGTATGTATTCTGCTTAGTATATTGTGTTAATCTATCAGAATACCACTGTCTCACTTTTTATTAGTCTACCATTAGGTTAACTGGTGGGAAGTTAAGATTTCTACAACCTTGGCATATTCACCTCTTGTTGCGCAAATTACATGAAATGCTTTACGGTAGACTAACGAAGTAGTTAGGTTAAAATCTGTGTCCTGTCTTTTTTTGAGGTCACTTTTGATCGTTTATTGTGTTGTCTGGGAATAATTTTGTCTTGTCAAATTTTTTCCTTCATCATTACTCATGGTTTTGTGTTCTCTGCTCATAAACGTTTTCCTGAGTTACCACTCTTGTTAAGCATCCTAGTTTGAGTTGGTCAGAATGTCTGATCGATAAAATACTGGTGGTTAACCATAATATCAGTGCCATCTGGATGAGGGAATGCAATAGCATTGTCACCTACATCTGTTGGTACCGTATCGTGTGCACTAGCTTCACACCATCTGATTATATGTGTTCCAGTGAACATACTGCTAGGTGAGTATGCAACGTTTACCACAACCCAGTGTATGTCCTTACTTAGGAAGCGCCTGAGTCTGTGGTAGCAAGGAAGCCATCTATTCAAGCTATTTTTTCGGCTGTACTAACTGGAGTTTCATACTATAGTATAGCCGGTGTCATGAAGAATAACTGTACTAGAAAATCAGGTGTTGGGTAGAATAGAAGTGAGTTGGATATACCTGTCCGCCAAACACGAATTCGTCGTATGCGGAACTCTAAGATCGCAACTGGAGTTGCGGAGGTACAAATGACATACCACTTTTAACCCAGGAACGACAATGATAATGGTGACTTAACGGTTGAGGTTCACTAGATTGTAGAGAGAAAAGGTTAATGAAGCCGTTAGGTTCCTTTAGTTCCACTAACCACTTGTAAAGATTCCAGAGGCTGTTTATGAGGGCTCCAGGGATCTCTCGCAAAACCAAAAGGTATAAACCCCTCTGAGCGCCATGTTCATTACCTGTTTTTAGTTGAGGGAACTATTTAGAACATTCTATCAGAAGTATCGCTCGGAGTGCTTATCTCCATGGTGGTCATACTAGGTTAACATGAAAATCAAATCGACTAAAGATCCTTAAAACTGGTCTGGTATTGAGAAATAGAGATGTAAATATTATTCATGCGTGACGGACACAATGGCTAATTATTCGAATGTTCTAATTTGTTTGGACTGGGTTCTTGACGCAGGATGGGACAGGCCACCCTGACTGAACTAAGGGTTCGGGAAGAGGAGACGGGATTAAAGTTGTGGGTTTTTGTATAACGAGGTCTTGAAAATAAATGACCCCATAACCCTTATGGATAACCAGGGTTGTACCCCAAACACATTGACGGCACTGTACTAATGCCCACAGCCTGCGTAATCAGACCTCAGAGCTGGGGGTTTTTAGTCTATGACGTAGGACCTGATGTCGTTGCCATGACAGGGACGTAGCTCAAGAGATGTGGCTTCTGTTCCTTTTCACTGGGTACTCCTACGCCAGGGCTGCAAGAATGGAGTTCTGCTGTTTCCCTGCGAAAACTTAAATATAAGGTCCACTTATCCTGAAGCACGTGAAAACAGTACGTACGAATTAGTAAGCTGCGACGTTTAGTCAATTGAGAATGTATTCCAAATCCGAGTGATCTACTGGAATCAATGTTCCATAGCAAATAACTTCATACTAAACCACGTAAGTGGGTGAAGTAATAGTAACAGATGCCCGATAATAGGTGAGCGTGAGCTAGGCGCACGACTTATTAACTGGAGCTTATATCGTCAGACTCTAGCTTCATTATCAACCTAGTCTTGTCAGTCTTAGAGTTTGTTCTGTCCAAGACGTTGTCAGGGCAGCGCGTTTTCACATAGAGTATAAACTATCCCTCCAAGAATTGGTTTTTACACATCAAACAGGAGTAACTGACCTGTATCACTCACGTTCAATCCCGGTAGTGCACACGTAATGATACTTTTTAAGTTCCGTACGTATGACTTGGATTACTATTCGGTTCCTCTTGGACTGAATGTATTTCGCGTGGGCATATCAGCTATCAAGAAATGTGCAATTATAGTAGATTGGAATGTGGAGAGTAGAATATTTACTGAGGAGCATTGGGAAGAATTCAAAGCTACATTTGAAAATCCAAATTCACCGTTTATACCATGGTCAACTCCACTCATTCTTACTGCTCCCTTCCAGGGTCAGTAAAAGTATTTTAAGACTTCTAGCGAACAGGGAACGACTATGAAACTTCTTTTTGGAAACAGGCAGTAAGGCCTTCAGGACTGCATATTGCAAGGCTATGATCATATGTTAATAAAATATTACGAGATCCAGAATAGCATATGGAAGGCAGTTTTTAATTGACTGTCACGTCTGTTCAAAACGTTTCTTATCATAAATTAAAAGAACTAAATGTAAGCATGAAGTCATATCGCTTTTTCTACATGAAAGTTCAGAAAAGGTCACTGAGCCTGAACTGTCCAAAGGTGCGGCGTTATCGGAATACTTTAGCGAAGTCTTCTCAGTTGGTCAATAGTGGTATGCACAGCTGTAGTGAAAGTATTGCCCCATCAATGGGCAGTTTTTCAGTCGCTTAGAAATCCTAGGTCTAGAGAATTCTCGGACCCTGATGGTTTACACCTTAGACTATTGAGGCAGTTACTGATCTTTTCAATATTTTCTTATCCCAAACTCGCCTACCTAGAGACTGAAAAGATGCCATAATCGGCCCAGTTCCTTAAGACCGGTAATCGTTAGTTGGTATCTAGCTGTTGCCGTGTGGGTCTAACTAGCTTAGTCACCAAGGTCTTCGGAAAGTAATCCATTTCTGTAGTGTAAGACAGGCGAAGTACATCCAGTCAAGTCAATCGTTCCTCATGAGGTAGATTTAAGAGGCCTCAACTATGTGTGACGTTTTACAGGATCCACTCCCACCGATTCTTCAACACTGGAAAATCACACTAGACGATGGGACATTCTTGAATCTTATGCTGATGACCCTCAAAACCTCAACGTATTTCTCAATCTTAGTATTTTGGGTGAGAGTTTCTGAAGGGTTCTTCGAATTTCCTATCAGATTAATTGTTCACCTCTGTAGCATCACTACTGTTAATAGTTACAGGTATCCAGTCTTTTTGTGAATCAGTAGTCATTTTAGTTGTTATGACAGTCACCTTTTTCTCCTTTTACGTTGGTCACGGCATCCGTTACTGACTCATCGTACAACGTCAGTCCCTCTTTTGGTGTCTTGTCAGATATTCTTTTGAAAGCATTTGGTATGTCATCATTTGACTTTGCATTGGCTCAGTGGTAGTTATTGTTCTAACTAGATGATTGTTTTTTTGCCAACAGCCTGCATAAGAGCAGACAGGCTACCAGAAAATTTGCGCAGTCAAACTGAAGCTGGTGTACTGCAACTGTTATATAGGGTTGGTGTCAATCCTGTACACTGGGACTAACATCCACATACACCACACAGTATACTTTTGTCAACCAAAAAGTAACGGTCAGGTTAATGGCAGACATGGTTATGCCTACCCATTTTTTCATAAAATAATGGGAGATTCAAACTAGAAATGGTACCTATATTTAACCTTGGTTGACACAATTGACAATATATACAAAACTTTCTAACACGTTTCACATAGAAATGATTTAAAAACTGTACTTCAACTGCAAATACTCAGTCAAACGGGAACTAAGAGTACTTAAGTTGCGATAAACACAAGTGATTCACAGCGAAATGTTAAAACAGCTTTTTCAAAACGTACAACATTTACGAAAGAATGTAATAAAGCCCAGAAATGATAAAAACTCAAATGTTGACTTAATTGGTTCAAGCAGAAGTTTACCAGAAAGTTTTTGATATAGTCCAGATAACCAAGGCCAAATTTGTCAAAAACGTAGCGAAAATCACTCTTTGTTTTCAAGGCGCGCACTAAAATATGATAAGTTAGCCAATATTCTTGACAAGGCAGTCCTGTACAGTCCTATTGTGTAGTTCCGCAAATCTAAGCAATAAAACAGCTATTTAGTCTTCGCTGATAAGGCTAGTGAACTAAAGATCCTATGTTAGTCCTTGCAGTATATGGAAGGTTGACTTTTCTACCACTAGCAGTGGTAACAAATTTAATTCGTTGACCACCCTGTAAGAATTTGAGTTTTACTCATAGCTTATTAGACCATGGCTTAGAAAGTTTTTTTTGATTTTTTAAATAGTCACTTCTAGAAGAAGTAAGACGGTTAGATAGATCAACATGGAGGTTGTTATTTATGATATAATACAAGAAAATACGATGATCTGTATTCGTACATGATGTTGGGAAATAGTTGAAACTTTTCAATGGGTTTTCATAATGGAGGTGGGAAATTTTTTTGAACTTAGTATCTACTCTTTGTACCTGTTTCATACTGCCTACTTCGTTCTTAAAGCAAGGAATAATTGTCTGTATGCAGTATTTAAAACGAAGCCTTATGTATGTAGGGAATAGTTCAAAATATGTCGATGCACTTGAAGTGACTACAATATCCGGAATATTTTAGCTGCAACTGCGTTACAGTATACAGTTGTCTTCAAGTTGTTGTTAATGATGACATATATCCTTTTTTTCTCTAACTCAGGCCAATGTTGATCCACCGACTGAAAGACTGTCAGCAAACTGTTACCGATATGCGTTACTGCGCTGTTGTTGCAATTAGTTTCAGACGCCAGCGTCTAAAAAATTTGATCAGCTCATTTAGGACGATCTGAAACTCTAGCCTTTCTTCAGCCCAATGAATAACCTTGAGACACTGACATCGTCTGCGAATCACAATGATGATGATGATGTCGTCTAGAAAGACGATGAAAGCTCCATGACCAAACAACCCAGCTCAGATAACATAATACAATCAAGACAATGATGATGACCTAAGCGTTCTCTGTAGTTCAGAAATATGAAGCATGAACCTAACTAGTAAGCAGTTCCCATTCAGAAATTACTCCATTCGGCTCACACTCTTTGCATCCCATCACATAGGCAGTACTTCAACCACTCTTTCATGTTGACATCCACACCGAAACTAGTAGGTGGTTTTTGATTTTTCTGAACGAATACAGGTGAAAACAGTACTAGCCCATAGTTGTATGTGGAGGTAACTGATATGGGTAGTAACATCTATTTTACAATCTGACCACATGCACTTGACTTAAGATGCTGCTCCAGGACTGACCTGCAACCACTCCCAGATAAATGGTAGGGAGTGCAGTAGTGGGATGTGTCGACCACTGCACTTGGGGAGTTGCACCAGCCCAAACGGAGTGGTTGATGACGAAATCTCAGTTTGGATACAAAAAACCAGTTCGACATTTTCCAACTTGCGTCACCTGTGGGGCCGACTGACAAGATATTCGAATATCTATCAAAGGATAAGTATAGTGCACTGCAGTCTCCTCTTTCCTGTTATACGGGTGTGAGACATGGTCATTAGAAGTAGAAGACACAAAGCGGTTACAGATGTTTGATCATAGGTGTCTTTGTAGCATTTCTCGCGTTTGGTGGAATCACCGTCTTAGAAATGTTAGGGCAAGACGAAAAGTACCGGGCAAGTCGATTGATAAGGTTGTGAACCTTAGTCGACTGAGATGACTTGGACATGTACTGTACATAGCAAGCCGCCGTCTACCTCGACGTACCATGCTGGGGAAAGTTGGAAGAGGGTTTAGGGTGGCCAGACTAAGACGGGGCATCAGTCAGTCGATGAAGTCTCTGATTGTTGGTCCGGGTCGTATGGGGTGAAGTAGAGTAACTGGTTGGGACCCGCGAGGCAGAAGGAATCAATGGTTGAGGACTGTTGCTAACATGGTTAAAGACCGGTCACAACGTCGCAGCTATGTTCACTCCTTGACATCTAAAGTTTGAATATTCGCACTAACCTTTATCTTCAGATTGCTTGTTCTCTCACATTACTTTATCTTCTTTAGTATCACTTTTTCTATCCACCTGTTCTTTGTGAACTAATGTGAAGTGTGGCAACTTGAGCCGGTGCACCTGTGTGCAAGGTTGTACGTTGGTTCTGTCAGTCAGTCAACCAGATGCACTTGATTGTACCAACCCCACCCACCCAGCGTAACTTAGCTAAAGCTTACAAACAATCTTATTTGATACCAATCTTTTTCATGCATTACATAATCCTCCCTTTTCTCATCTTTAACCGTGTTGGGTTGATAAGTAATTCTACCATGTAATGCATTGAATGGTCTGCCCTGAGCTCAGTATTATAGCCTTGGATATTTGATAACTGGGAAGCAATCACTGTAGATAGAAGTGTGACTATTGTCCCCGTGTGATCGTTTCCAGAAACAGAAGTGTAGGATCACTTAAGCAATGTCATTTTTCGTTCGGATAAAAAGTCACATATACTTCGAAAGCTGTAAACCACAAGAAAGTTTCCACCACTTTTCACAAATCAAAAAGTACGCTCTCCGGAGAGTAACGATCTCTCATTAGCAACAACTACGAGGTTAGTAGCAATGATTGTCAACGATCAAAGACTTCAATGACGGTTGCTGTCTTAATCTAGTAGTCCGGATCCCTTTTCCAACCTAAATCTACTTCAGCTAACATTGTGCGACAAGGCAGGCGATAACTAGGCACGTGTAACACGATGCAGCAACCTGAGTTAATGAAAGTTCACAAACTCACGACCAACGTTCCCCTTCTGTCTAAAACTTTACAGATGATTTCTACTTTACTGACCCCGTGACAGCATAACGCACGAAGACAACAGTAGTTAAACACTAGAATCCTTCTCATGCCCTCTTCCTTTAATGGCCATCTTTCCAGGCGTACGGAACAACAGAGCGGAATGCAGGCCAGTACACTCGACCCTTAATAGGCAGTCAGATATGATGGCAGTGCCAGAGATGGCGTAATTTGGTACAAGCTAGTCGAGCCTTTTGTATCCGTGCAAAGATTTCATCAGCCACTGACCCACCGAGTCTGTTCTAACTTCCCAGGTAAGTGTAGTGGTCAACGCACTAAACAACTTCACTACCTTAATATGAATGTAAATTGTGGGCTATGGTAGAATGTGATTCCATTTCATTTGATTTATTATATTTATCACACAGTGGAACAATATTGTTTACTGCATTGTGTTTTCGACATTATTTGTTGTCTATAGTCATATCAAGGTAACTACACAACTTTGAGACGTCTTTTAGTTGTCCTGGTTTCCTCGCCTCCTTTGTGATATGGATAGTAAGATTTTCCATATATCCGGAACAGGTATTGAATCATCCCTGTTGCATGTATTAGGTGTTTATTCGATAAACAAAGATTCAGTTATCCATCTCTTCCTCCACCTGGCTGTTAGTTTTTAAGACTCACCCTGTTCCATCCTATTTTGTGGTTGTATGTAATTGCATGTATAGCTATGGCTGAGCTCGGTACATGTTCCGGATATACGGAAAATCTTACTATCTATATCACAAAGAAGGCGAGGAAACCAGGACTACTAAAAGATGTCTCAAAGTTGTGTAGTTACCTTGATATGACTATAGACAACAAATAATGTCGAAAACACAATGCAGTAAACAATATTGTTCCACTGTGTGATAAATATAATAAATCAAATGAAATGGAATCACCTCACTCCCAATTGTTAGCTGGAGCACCACTAAAGACCGGTCTTAGAGCAACAACTTGAATTCAAGTGGCAATAAATGCATACCAAACATTCTCAATTTGGAACTCAAGGTGTCCAGAAGACTCCATTTTGTCAGCGTCTTCACGTAGCAGGAACATGTCATCTGCGTATTGTAGATCCACCAAAAATTCTCATGTGATCAGATAAATCCTTGTGAAATCAGATGACGAGATGGAGACCTCTATAAGTACATCTATGTTATGGTTGAATAGAAAGGGAGAGTGGACATCCTTGTTGGATACCACTTGAAGTAAACAACTTACTATAGGCTCTAATGCACCTACGAGTGTTCAAGTACAGAGTCTTCAACAGAGTGATGTACTTATTCGCCATGTTCCAGTAAGAGACACTGCCGTAAGACCTCTCGTTAGACAGAATACAATGCCACCTTCATGTCGAGAGATTCAGATGGTGTCGTGTGTTGGAAGTGAACCTGTGCTGTAGAACCTGGTGGAGTACGAATATCTTTCGATACACCTACGACCAGGTCTAAAGCCTGCGTGGTCTTCTCACCTTCCCTGTCCCCGAACTCTTCTTAGGTGTGATAATCAATGAGCCTAGAGTTTTAGACAATATGTTCATTAGGCTGATTCCCCTTTTAATTATAATAAGACTTCTCCTCCTTCTTGAAGACTTGGAAAATCAACGATTGAGACTGGTCAAAGGGGATCGTATTTGATAGTTTATACCTCAGTTAGCGGGACTAATATTCCATGACTGCCATCGGGTGTTAATCCGTCTGACCCTGCCATCCTTCATCGTTACAGATTAGTTACAGCTTTCTCGACTTTTGTAAATGTTAGAGTCCTGTCTCAGTGTCCCACGGGATAGTAGTCAACGCAATAGCAACTAGAGACTAGTTGAGCTACAGGTAGAGGCGTGGTAGGATTTTGATCTATCTTGAATTTGTTCATTTGATGTAGCACACGCTAACATTGTATTATTTACTTAGTCTTTATTATGAATTACTGTATTTTTAAATTTTGTTTCTCATAGTAATACATATGGTTTTCAATGTTATTCCTTTTCCTATCTAGATTTTAGTGATGATTTAGTGGACTTCGACGATCAGGCCTATATGTCATCTCTATATTTCAGTGACAGCTGTGTTATAAACATGAATTCTGGTTTCATCTTTCTAGCAATTTTATTTCTGACTGTTAAAGGCGAAATCAATAGTGGTGTCGTCTTACCCTCTAAGTGTGAAGGTTAGATCATGATTTGGTCTTAATATGCAGTTTGCAAGCTTCTTGTAACAGAAATACTTATCCGTCTAAAAGAAACGAAATCAAGCGATTCTCTGAGCATCAGTTCTGATCGTGGCAATTCAAAGAAAGTTAAGTATGAGACATCGTACGTTACTCTTCTGTTCTACTAATTTTATATATTAACAGAGAAATCAGACTTTTTGAAATCATGGAGGATCCTCCTATATGCAGTAGGTTACTTCAGTACAAAGTGCACAAAGAACGACAGGACAGCACCAGATTTGATAAAAGTGTACCTCAGACAATGAAGTCTCTCAGTGAACTGGTGTACGTTGCTTGTAATATTTACTAAGCTTAGCCAGGAATCGTGGTGTTGATGTGAAGCTGGATGTCCCTTTTGAGCTATGGGATAAACCATCAGCAGAAGTTACAGCTTTGTTCAAAGAGGTATACGTAATAAACATTTACTAACTTATAAGTGCATTCCACTTGTTAGTGAATACCAGGATACTATTGAAGAATGGTTTTTTAAACACCAAGATCAGAATCTGTACAACTATCTTTGTCGTGAGAATGTTCTGGATGAATTTTCACAAGGTAAGTTTCATCATCAAGTTCGATAGCTTTAGTTGCTTATAATGTATGTAACTACAAGTCGGCTTTTATTTTCGAAATATATTCAGATATTTCACTTCATATGGTTGAACTGAGTTGGCTTTGCTTTTCATATTCATTTATATGAAAGCCAAACATACGTTACTCAGACATTGTACATAAGTTCCTTTGTTTGCAGTCATTGGTTTACAGATCTCAGTAAACTGGGTTTCTAGCTTTTTCCTCCTTCAGATAGCATTCTATGAAGTGTACACTTTATTGGTTTAATAGATGACTATTGACATAACCAGTTTGAGATTCATGTTCTGTGTTATAAACATCAGGATAACTAGTGGAGGATTTCAGTTTAGTGTCCACTTAATAGTTGTGATCTGTTAAGCAATACTTTTATCGGTCTGTGGTTGAACTTAGCAGAGTAAATTGATCAGAACGCACAACTTCCTTCCTTTTGTCTCATGCTTTTACACGCAGTTTGTAGCAACTGTTTCTGCTGTCACCTATATTTTTATGTACTCTTTTCAACAATCAGTGACCGTGGTCATGTTTCTCTCCTCTTCTTTCCCTTCATAGTACTTTCACTCACTTATTCATGAAGGTTGTTTAGGATTATGCTCACTACTGAAACGTACAAGCAGTCTTTTGAACATGAAAATTCCAAATGAAGCTGGATAGTGATCACATTTTTGATTTACTCGCTAACTCCTTGTCACACATATGCCTATACTACAAAGGTAACGGTGGTCGGATGCCTGAAACTTTCTTATATCTTCTACATTTAATGACCATATTTCATATCCAGCAATAGAAAAGAGTAAACTACATGCAGTACACTGAACCCTTAACAGACAGTCGGATATCATGGTGGTGACATAGATGGTCTAAGCTGACGAAAGCTAATCGAGCCTTTGGATTTGGGCTGAGACTTCATCGGTCACTGACCCAACAGGGCTAACCCGACTTCCCAGGTAAGTGAAATAGTCAAGGCGCTCAACCATTTCACTCCTTATGCCAACACAAAGCAGTCCTGAGCTAACAGTTTGCATTTGGATGACGAGAAACCCTTCCCGAACAATGACGAGTTGTCACTCAAAATGTTCAGAAGACTGCATCTACGATTAGTAAGGAGTTTCACGTGGCAAGACTAATCCCAGAAAGGTCAGACGAGTAGAAGAAGACCTCCACTAACATACCTATGTGAAAATTAAATAAGGATAGACAATGAACATCCTTGATAGGCTCCAGTCACGTGACCGCACGCCAGAGATTCCAACTCGTCCAAATGTGTTCCAATACAGACGCTTCGATAGGAAGTTGCACAAACTGTGACTGCTACCGGTTAGAGGGGGGGGGTCATGTCTGATCCACATACGCCAGCTGATACAGTAATTAATCCAACCAATAATCCTCGACCACCTTCTCTAAATACCTGTGGTACTAGCTGACCTAGCTCTCATGTCAGTTCATTTCTCAGGGTACTTACAGTCTTCTCAATTTCTGTAAGTGTTGGACACCCTACCGAAGTGTTTTATTTACGCAGGGCATATATGGTGATGTCCCCATCAATTCGACATTCGAACGTCAGGCAGGCTAGCTTTACTGGAGTGTTATATCTCATCTGTCTATATTAGATTTGATTATTCAATACAACATACAGTATTATTTACTGATGAGACTTGGAACATAAATTATTCCTTATGGTCATGTCAATGTAATCACACAACTTTCGACATCTGATTTTTATCGTCCTATCACCTCATATTCTTTCTTTATTGGTAGTAGTAAAATTTCCCACTTCTTTGTAATAGGTGTTTTGTCATTCTCATTACACGTACTGGGTGTTGATTCAACGAACAAAGATTCAGTAATCGACCTCTCTACCTGACTACGTTGAACCATGATTTAACCCCCCTCCCTTATTATGTGGTTGCATGTTAATACTTGGATTTCAATAGCCGAGTTTTTTCTAGATTATTGGTCATATTGGGGCCTTTCATTCTGCATTTGCCTAAATTACTGTGCTCTGATAACGTAACTGACTCCGATTGTCTGGTTTGATCGATGTACTTGACTTCACAGTCATCACCTGGGACTTCTAGATCAAATTATTTTGCTTAATTGGGTCTGTCGGATCTTTAGGCCGATAAAGTTTATTTGTGAGCGCGTTTGTTGTTTTGAATGCCATCCTAATCCTAGCGTTGTTGACAATCCTACGTAAAGTTTCCAATGTTCCCTTCTTATATGGTAACACAATAAAGGCCTTAAACTCCTTTCTACCTGTGCCGCAATTGTTCATATTCCTACTACTGTTATTACTTTGTTTTTTATGTGTTCCTATGAACATATGACTAAACTGTAGAGAATAATTACTAGTGTTTCCTTTATATGTTTCATTCCTTACTTAAGTCATTGCATTGACCAAAAAGTTAACTAACTATAATTTAGACATTCGACTAAACCCTCCTTTGGGATATTGGACAGACAGACAAAATAAACGTAGAACCTAGCTTACGGATGGATTGGTTCAAACTGCCATCCGCAAGCAATGCTACGAAGACACTCATACTCAAAATCCTGTAATCTCTTCATATCCTCTACTTTCAAAGGCCATATCTCTCAGCTCTGTAATCAAATAGTACAAACTACAGCGCGACAAACAAGTAGTCGAATATCTCCCCAATCGGCGCATGAGGTGACGCCAGTTGGCAAATGCCAAACGAGCCTTCTCTGTCCGAGTTAAGATTTCATTGACAAACAGCCCGTTCGGGCTAATTCAAATTCCCAAGTAAGTGAAGCTATGGACATATCCCACTACTTCGCTCTGTTTCAATAAACCGCCAGTAGTTGTAGACCAGTTCTGGAACATCGTCTTGCATTTGACACGTGCGATATAACTGCAAGTCAAAACAAACTCAGATTTCTGCTCAACGTGTTCAGAAGACCCTTCATTTTGTCAACGTCTTCACCCAGCAGGGAAACATCGTCTGCGTACCCCTCGTCAACCACGTGCTTTCTAGGGCTAAGGTCAATCGCTATGAAATTAGAGGTACCTAAGGTTGTGTCTATTAGTACATGTGCAACGAAATTAAAAAGGAGCGATGTCAACGGGCATCCCTGACAGACACCATTATTTGTCGTTAATTGTGATGACAACTCTCTATAAACCATGACACGACTGCGTGAGTCTAAGTGGAGAGCTATGAGTACTTTTTCACAGTCAGACGATGTCAAAACATCTCACAGTGGACAGAGTTGAGTGCTACCTTCGTGTCAGGAAGTATGATTTGTTTCGGCAGCCATTAAGTATGCTCGTGTTGCATAACCTGACAAAGGGTGGTGATGCGGTGAATGCCCCCTCAGCCATGTCTGAAACCTGCTTGCTTTTCTCGAGTTTTTTTTTCTCCAGCTGCAGTTAGATCTCAGATAACCATAGGCCTTAATACACCTATGATTGCCACTTGAAAACTTCTCTCCCTTCTTATAGACTGGGATGATCAGCGAAGCAGACCAGTCTGACGGGACTACTTCTGACTCTCACACACTACTTAGTGCTTCCGTCGCTCTGATCAGTATTTCCGTACCTCTATCCTTCAAACCTTCTGATACCAGAGTCAGGTGCTGCTGCTCTACATCGTTTCAGAATTTGATACGGTCATCTTTAATTCGATGAGAGTTGTAGGACCGTTGAGGTTCTCGTTGGGGGCCAGTTAATCTGTGATTCAAAGCGTCCCCCTCCCATAACTGTAGCCGTCTGTCTTGGGAGGTTATCAGCGTTCTATCCTTTTCGGTGGTGGTTTCACCAACCACCGTTTTCTTCTTGCCTGTATCCTTAATAATCCTAAATAATTGCTGAGTTTTACCTATCACTGATGCCTCCTCCATCTCTCTTGCTTTCGCCATCTATCACTGCTCACGATCATTGCAAAGGCTCTTGGTCAATTTACGTTTAGGTCGCTTTCACTCTTCATTGTTGTCAGAGCCGGCTGAAATGAGTTTTCTCGCATTAGTCAGTTCGGATGAGGTAGAGGGAATCCATCAACGTTTGGTAACTTTGGGATGTAGGTTACCAACTGTCTTTATCACTTTTTCTGAAACAGACTAAATATCACTCTAGGTTTCCTCCGGATGAGGATTGCTGCCACTTTCAAATAAGTGCTTAGCTATCTCCTCCCTGTATGAGTACTTGATCTCCCCTTCCATTCGAGCACAAACAGGTTTGACTCGCGCTTATTTTATGGGACCAGTAAGACTCAGACAAACATGAGCCCGTACTAACGCGAGATGAGGGTTCAAGCAAGTATTCAAGAAAGTGCGTCAATCGTTCACCGATTCTCTGCAACGATGACTTATAGCATTATGATCTGTCTGTATCCATCGTTGGTTTGATGCCAGTGGACGCCTCCTGGAGACAGTGTATCTCGTTATGCATACAAATAGTGCTAATCAAAAGCGAGTGATTGTCAGAAGAAATTTACGAAAGACGATCACCGTTGTCGGGTCTCTGGCATGGAATGCCACAAATAACTCCGAGGTGCCTTTCCGACTGGCTTAGCTTTCCTACTTGGGCACGATAGTATGACAATATGTGAACGTTTTGCTTCCTGTAGCGGAACTGGTAGGTTTTGATGGAACCTATCCTTTGCATCAACGGAACTACAGTCAGTGGATGTGTGGGTGGAGATTACGAATAGGCATCGGGAAGTCTCTCGATCCTGCGTTGACCTTACAGATCCATTCAATTGAACACCACACAGACAAGTGTTGACTGGTGAGAGATGCTTGTTGTTCGATTTAACTTAGTGTGAAATCGTTAGCGGGGTCTTAGGAGACTAGGAATGAGGTTTAGATGACTTCAGTCGTTGCCAACGATCGCAGAGTAAGTGAGTGGTTGATGAAATTGTAAGAGACTCAATATTAGTATCAGGTGGTAAAGGCAAAGGAGTAGACTAAGTTGAGGAGGATGGATTATGTTTGATTGGGTCCTGTATACTACTGGAAGCGTGTTGGCGGTCGTCACTTTCCAACTAGACATACCATACATGGAAGGCTTTTTCTTCTTAAGGCACGTGATAGAAAAAGAAATTTCTGTTAGTGCAGATCCCACAGGACATCTGCTTGAGACCTGTCACAGACAGCCTTTTGAGGATTGTTGACATGTGACTTGATTGTTCTATTACCAGATTGAGGAAACCCATACAACCGGCGCAGGAAGACTAGTACAGGGAGTAGTGTGGTGTTTTTAAAGCTAATCGGGTGCTGCCAGTCTTCCACGGGAAGCACTTAACTGCTGTCACATCCCAGCCAGCAGTGCGACTTCGCCGTCTGATCCCCAACATAAAGTAGCAATTTATACCACAGTGGTAGCTGGTTTACATCATACTACTATCCAACAAACCTTTCTGATATGGTAGGACCTAGGGGGAGGAAGCGTTGCGGCCTCATTAGTATAAAACTTGGAAACTGTGGTAGAATGTAATTCCAGATTGGATTTTCTTATTTAATGTATAACACAGCGACCTTTGAAATAAACGAACCTGGTGTGGAAGCGTTCCACTCCTTGTATCTCATTGATTCACTATGATATGCAAGCCCGACCACCATATCCAGGTAGCAGCTATCGATTGGGTACCTGAACAACAGTTCGTTCTTCATTATACTTTGCAGTCCAACATGGCTAATTCTCTTTTTTATACCTTCTGCACCAACTGGATTGCATCTACTACTGAGTTTATATTTTGAAAAACTGCCGGTATGTTCCAATTTCAAGCCATCAATGTGTCATCTATATATCACCATTTCTTAGGTGTAGGATTAAATGTTTTTAAAGCCGTATGTTCCATAATCATAACTCCTACCATTGGAAATATGGGTGATCCCTTTGCTACCCCTTCTGCTTGTCTACATATCTTGTCTTGAAATTTCACTTCCGTTCCCCTTCTTTTTCCGTGCACAACAGCCTTGAACTAATGTCTTGTTTGATATACTGTATTTTCTCTAATCTGCCTGCATCCACGTCATCCCTTACAACTTTCGTTGTAAATTACAATCTGATTTTCATTTTAACATTCAAGGTTTTGGATTAGCGAATTCATAATTTTGTTTTAGGATGTTTGGATGAAGGAAACGTTGGTCAACTGGAAAAGCTACCAGGTTAGTATTTGACTTCCGAAATATATATACATACAGCCGTACAACAGTACGCCACGGAGTTCATTATACTGTACTCGTTCTTTCATAAGTAGCCAAGTATTTCGCCATCACCAGATATGGCGTAAGTTAGCTAGTGCCAAAAGAGATTTGGTGCCGTCTGCAACGGACCCATTCAGGCTGATTCAACTTCCTGAGAACGTGGTCAAAGCACTCCTCCCCTCAACTCCCTATACTGCAGACCAGCTCTGAAGCATCATACTACATTCGGCAGCTGTGAAACCCAAAACAAACGAACCTAGGTTTTTGCTGAAAGCGTTTGGAAGGCTACGCTTTGTCGGTGTTCAAACGTAACGCTCTACATTGAACATCAAAGTTACTAATATGGTACTGCACAGGGTCTAATCAGTCTACGGATGGTGATGGGATACAGATGTCGGACATCCTTATCTTGGAGCGACCAGGTTTGTAGAAGTGTTCACATGAAAGCGTTCTTCATCGACCTTTCACTAGGAAGTTGGTGGAACCAAAGATGACACTTATGGGCATGCACGTTTTATGTTCCCGATTTATGTTGGCATATGTAATCTTTCACAACAGCAGTACTCAAACAATTACCCAAGATGTGTGGCCGTTTTGATAATTTCTCCACTAAGGATGAGTGCAGAACAAATTTTGTCTAATGCTCTTTAAAGTCCTTTCCAGCCCTGTAATCTGAACACATATCTTACACAAACAATGACAACAAATTGTTTAGGCGCAGATTCAGTGGCCTGTAAGTTTTCCTTAGTAAGATGATGTCATACCTGTGCCTACAAGTACTTCTTTTTCGTTTTAGCTTATTCATTGTTTTCTCAAAAATGTCGTCAATGACAAAGTTAGGAAGGAATAACAAATCTGTTTGGAATTATGAGAATTGGATAGTTGTATCCCCTTTTACTCTCTCCTTTTTGTCAAGGAAGACAACAATTGTTTATCTGGTATTCGTGTTACCTATGTTCAAAAGTCTAGCGGAGAGTGAACTTATGATCAGGATGTCCGCGGAATCCATGGGGTACATCTTGACTAAACTAAGGGACAGATAGATAGATATTATGATAAAACTCAGGACAAATAGGTTAGTGATCATAATTTGGAAACAGAAGTTGATAGAGACAAAAACTGGAAGTAAATAGTTGATTTCATGAAGTGCTGCAAACAAAATTTACGTTGACTTTTAGGAGTAAAACGTTAAGACTATGATTTTTAGTGGTTCAGAAGAAGAGGCGGTATGAACTTTGAAAGTTATCCAACTGACTAACGAATAGTAAAATTGCTAGTGAAAAGAAACAATCCGTTTCTTCAAGTGAAGCACGCGTTGTATAATTCATTCAATAGTATATTTTATTCATGTCTTACATAGAATTTCGCTTATTTACTTACATATCTGTATATTTCATTTCAGAGTTACATGACTCAAACGAATTATAACGTATGCACAACACATGATAACCTATTTTAATTGTATTTGTAGTGAATTTATTTGCATATATGAATTTCTTGTATATATAAGTAATGGTGATTTATTTATTTTTACCCTTTTAGTTCGTCTACTTTAACTTAGCTTGTGAAGTAAACTGGGGTTCATTTGAAGAAAACTGAGGAAAAATCAGCATAAAGGTTGAAGTGTGCTACCAGACAATATTGCGGACTTTAGATGTATTGAGAATAAGATGCTCAAGTGAAGAGAATTAGTTGTAACTGTGGTCTCCAGAGAAGTAAGCAGACCAAGATGTCATCAACAATAGTTTCAGATCCTGTTATTGTAACTCACAGTGGTGCAAGAGAGTGACTGGTAATTATTGGAACTACTAAAAGTAATTTATTGGTCGATTCAACTTTGCTCTTAGCCACCCAGTCTGCAATATAAGTTTATCAATTAGTCATAGTCAACATGGGATTGGCATCACTGTTATAGTTCAAAATCCCACACCCCAGATCAAACGAGGAGGGACTAAGGTAAAATATTGAAAATTAAAGAATGAATATTAGAAAGTCGTAAAAAGAGAGCGTGGAGCAAAACAACAACTAAATTGGAAATGATTATCTGTATAAAGATAGTATTTCGACGCATTTGCACCAATGAGATCGGTTTTGACTGTGTCGCAGATCCCAAAGAGGAAATCGTCACTTCCCTACAGAACCCAAACCAATAGTCGGTGACTAAATGAATTGATGACAGGTTTCAATCTGATCACCTTCCAGTCTGAACCCATTTCAGCTGACGTTGTGCAACGGGACAGGCGGTGACTAAGCATAAGCAGTAAATTCTGTTCGAAATTTCGTCCAATAAATGATAATACTATTTCACTGTGTGAAATATCCCATGAACAAACTGACATCAAGTTAAACACTACCACAGTGCCCAATTTCTACTCTCACATTAATCAGTTGACTTACGTTCACAACCACATCAACTGACGTATCTGTTTTACATAAAAGTCTAATCCTGACTTCTACGTTACTCGTAGTGAATTCACAAAACATGATGCGATCAGCAGAAAACATGAAATTACTGAACAGGGTAACAAACATACTAGTTAGTGTATGTGAATTAGAGACAGTTGTATCAAAATAAGTTAATAAAGCTTCACTTACTCATCGGTTAGCTTTCCGCTTCTCTCTAAAACTCTACACCTCACTTTACTAGTGCAGTGGCACCACAACATACGGCCTACAATGTGAAAGCAATGTTATCTGAACACCTAACGCCTTCTTATATCTTCTAACTTCATTCAGCATGTTTCAAAACCATATAGTACAGAGCGAGTAGCAGTGGGGTGCATTGGATCCTTAATATATAGTCAGATATCACGCCGGCGTAAGTTAGCGAAAGCTAAACGAGGTTTCTGCAGCAGCATCTAGATCTCGTTGGTCATTGAATTGATGAGTGAAAGTACAATAATCGGTTTCTGTCCTACCCATCTTATTACCTGAGTTTGTTACTCAGATATGCAAAACAATTACCTTTTTTCATACTCCATGTGTGTGTTGCGAACTAAGGTCAAAGTCTGTCACGAGCGATATGACGTCAATCCTGGATATATGGGAAAAGGAAGAATATAGAACGGTGCAATTATAAGAAGCTACCTGGAAAAATGTATGGAAACCTAGATAAGGGTAACAATTTGTGAACAAAACGTCTGCTGGTGAGCTATGCTGTTCTATGTAAAAAAGACTAGTCGAATATGACAAACATAAATGTACACTGAATTTGACATAAAAGGGCGGCAGTTCCGACTGCCACACTTCACGCGGGAGTGTGCTTTTTTCACGTTTGGTCTTTTATATCAGCTACATTTGGGAAAGATATCATTAACATAGACTACTAGTAATTCATAGGAAACACCTTACTACTGTCACAACTAGTAGTACTAATTCACTCTCGGACTCAGGTCATAGGGTAGCTACTTGTGTTTAAATAACAACACTACCCGACAGACGTAGTACGGTACGACGTCAAGGAACATTTTTTTCCATCAGCATAGCTCGTTGGGTCAATATATGTATACAAGCCCGGCCATCACATCATGATAGGGCTTTGGTCTAGAATCCAATACAAAGTCAAGAAATACCACCTGATTTAGCGGTTGTAGTGGACCCAAAGAATGTCAAGTAAACCAAAATGACAAACTACGTATAATTTACAAGAAAAATGGATTTTATGATACACGTGTGTGAAAAGTTATACGTTATAGCACAAAATAGTATTGTCAGTGTTATAGATAATCACGGGTTACTTGGAGGTTATTTCTTCGGTATCGTCCACCACAATTTTAGGATACTCCAGAGATCAGAAGGCGATATTTGTTGTCTCCCCGCTGTGGTCGTCGGTCGGCTTGATTGTCGTAATATTTGGAAGTAGGATGAGAAGTCCTGTAAATTCCCAAGACAATCAGTTATTATGCACGACAGGCAATAGTCACGGAGGCAGAAGTCGGAATGGTTAGAAGCACGTTATATTTCCATGATTAGCAGCAGCAAAAGATGCAATTACCGCCACAACCAAAAAAGTGTATATAAACAACATTCGTTTTTACAAGTATTAGGGATAATGTACAGAATGTGTAAAAGGAACGGTGAAAAGGAAATATTGCTTATAGTTGAAGTAGTTTATACACAATTGTATGCAGTCTCCACACGGTCTATCAGGTTTTCATGATTCTGAACATAACCGTCGCAAGTGACTGACGTGTGAAAACTGTTGAAGTTTAATCAACCACCCCACCTCAATGGTACCTGGAGTCTGACCGAGACCAAGCTATTCTTGATGACAGATAAGTGTGTCAAACAGTAGGTGATTTGTAAGCAGGTGAAATGTTAGTAAGCTGGGAGAAGGTTTCTTACGAATCAAACTTTGAGCCATTACGATTGTCGAAGTGATGAAACTTTGGTAGTACGGAGCCAACTTTTACTCCGGACCATTTATTTTAGACAGTTATTATTTCTCTACCTCATAAGTCGTAATTTCTCTGACTTCACTTTCTTTACTCCCATTTGGATGACGGAGAAGGAGAATCAACATAAAACCTAGCACAAGTGCATCGGTTCAAGTTGCCACACTTCACAACAGCATGCAAGGAACAAGTGGATGGGATGGGTCTTTGGGAGAAGAGGGAATTTAAAAATGAAGGTTAGTCAAAATATTCAAGCCTGTAAGACATCAAATAGTTAATACATCTGGCCTTTGTGACCGATTTTGGAGCATTTCACCAAGAGTCCTCAACCACTGATTCCTATGGTCTTGGGGACCCCTTTCAGGTATTCTACACCTTCCTATACGGCTCAGACCAGGACTCAGGGACTTCATGCACTAATGCCATATCTTGGTCTGCCATGCATGATGTCACTGTTATAAAACTTGATAAGTTGACTTCACTGGTTTTGCGGAGTGAATAAATTTTAACTAGTTTTCAACACGGATGTTTCCTTGTTTTATTCGAATCACCTTGGTGTATACTTCAAAGTTAAGTCAGTTCTTATGAACTACTTGGAGTGACTCTGTTTTAATCGCTCACGATTGGCAAGACTGATTATCATTGTTTGAGGGAATAAAACTGCAATGTTTCATATATTAGTGAGAATCTATTGGGTGCTAATTAACTTGCACATTTTGCTACATTGACTGTTAGTTCAAGTTCGTACGGTAATTATTTTGCCTCTAGCACACCTTTGCACGTACGTGACGGCTTTTTTACATTCATTTTATGGAATCTGGAATATTCATGATACTACATACATTATTCACTTGTTAGTAATTCATCCTTTTGAGGAAATCACTTGTACATCACTGAGTCGATCTTATCCGAGTATGAGAGATGGTACCTAATCCAACCAACTACTCTGATTTCTAATCAAATTACAGTGATTTCCACCTGCGCACTCATTTCCAACACTTTTAGTGAAGTAATTCACTCCATCATGGTGTTGATGAGGATAATAATGGGCACAGTAAAGGACATAGTTACTGAAAAGCATTCTTATCTGTAAGAAACTGCATACATCCTCCTATTGAAAGTCAGGTGTGCAGTTACTGCATCACCTCGTAGTAAAGCTGAATAAGATTTAACAAAACTCATTTTTCAGGGGATCTGGTAAATTTACCGAATTATGTGAGTGAAAAACTTGGGCACTGTGGTAGAATGTAGTTCCATATTAGATTTGTTTATTTGATATAAAGCGCACAGTGATACAGTATTATTTAATTGATTACGTTTCGAGCATAAATTATTGCTCATAATCATATCAATGTGACCGAATTATGTATTCAATGAACAACAGAATATGAAACTACAGATCAGAAGTACCCAAGTATATATTAAGAGACTAATGATACGGAAGACATTAATATCATCATTAGATCAGAAAAGCTCAATCAATCAGTCATTATCAACATAGGATCAGGCATTACTGCGTAACGGTCCGAGTTACCGCACCTCACGTCAGTTCATCAAGTAAAAAGGTAGTGAGGTGAAGGATGAAGATAAGTGAATCCAGTCAAAAGAAATATAAAGTACGATAAGAAAGGAAAGAGGAGTGACAAAATGGTGAAATTCGGTATAGTGTAGTTAAGATGAGGATATTGTGTGTATACATCTGTGCCACTGACATCCGTTCTCAGCCATATCACCTAGATTCAGTCTCCAACCACTCGTTCCTCTTGTCCCGCGGACCCCAACCACCTAGTAAACTGCATCGTCCTACATGGCTTAAACCAACAGTCAGAGACTTCATACATTGGTGCTATGTTTTAGTCTGGCCACCTCGGGCCTATTTCCAGCCTGGACCCGCCTCAGCCAACATTGTGTGACGAGGCAATCGGTGACTAGGCATACGTAGTACGTGTCCCAACCATCTCAGTCGATGAAGGTTCACAACCTCGTCAACTGACTTACCTCTTTTCCCTAAAACTCTACACCTGACTTCTGCATTACTCACATGGTAACACCATGGAATACGTCCTACACTACGAAGGCAACGGAGGTCAAACACTTGAAGCCTTTTTATATCTTCCACTTTCAGTGGCCATGTTTCACAGCCATACAGCAGAACAAAGCAGACTGCTGTGCAGTACACGCGACCGTTAATAGACAAGCGGATATCACGGCGGCGCCATAGGTGGCGCAAGTTGGCAAAAGCCAATCGAGCCTTTTTTATCCGTGCAGAGATCTCATCGGCAACTAACCCACCAGGGCTGATCCTACTTCCCAGGTAAGTGGAGTGGTCAACACACTCAACCACTTCACTGTCTATTGTTAGCCGCGGTACCGCTGAAGACCAGTCCTGGAGCAAAAATTTGCATTTGGGTGGTGAGAATCGCATCCCAAACATTCTCAAATTCCCGCGAAAGAAATACACACGGAATGCAAATGTATTGACCCCTAATATGAAAGACTAAAATATGTATCACAATTGCTCTAGAAGAACACTAAAGAGCACGACTTACTGAACAGCTGTTGATGGCATGGAGTTATTCTCGTCGTCTAACGTCAACAAACGGTTTCATTAGTTGTATGCATTTAAACAGGGATTTTGGGGAATACTTGATCAATTAATAAACCTTTTATTTTAAATTGAATCAAATAATAGCATCCCCATGAAAAGGTGGACTAATGTATTCACGCTTTTTTGCTATGTTGTAAATCTTGCACTGTAGAATTCCAAGTTGGGGAATCGAATATGCCTAAAATCGACGAAACAGTCTCCATTGCATTTTGCCATTAGAGGAGTATCCGTTCCAAAATAGGTGGTGGCTTGGCGTGTGTAGCATATGTCAAAGCTACTTCAGCTGATGAAGGTTCGACTGACTTCCTGGTCTCATACCCTAACCTAGATATACTTCTCAACATGGTTTCACTACACGTAAGTGATGCTGTGAAGATACCTGGGGTCGGAAATTCGTAACTTACTCATCTGGTTTCAACCGCTGGCTGTGAAACGAAACATCACAGAATGTAACATCGTTCACTCATCATTTAACAGGTAATTGGACGTCTTGTCACCACCAAAGATACCGCTATTCGACTAGTGCCGACCGTGCCTTTGATATCGAAGCTGAGATTTTGTCAACAACCAGCAGACTTGGGTTAATTTACCTCTCCAAGCGAAATAGGTAACGCTCTATACCACTTAGCTCCCTGTGCTCATACTAGATGTTAGAGACCATTCGTGTAGCATTCTCCTACATTCGACACTTGTAAAACTAATGCCCAGCGCACTCAGATTGTTTGGGAGACTGCATCCCATCGGTGTCTTCACCTAAGAGGACAATCTAGTCTGCTCTTTTCATGCCGACCAAACGCCCTTCAGGAAGTAAGTCGATCCTTAAGGAGTCGAAAGTACGGCGGACTGCATCCATTAGCATGTGTATAGTAGGAATAGCGACAGTGGGCATATTCTGCGGACAAAACAGGCTGCCGTTAGTTCAGACGACTACGCTTCATGAATCCTTACGCAGCAGCATGAATATGAGCAGAGCTTTCATTAACGTTACATACTTGCCCAGTACTCCGTTAAGTCAAAAACTGTTAGACCTCCCGGAAGATAGAGTTGAATAATACGTTTATATGGCGATTTCCACTTGAAGATATATATCATCAACGTAATAAACTCTAGTAACCAGCCATTTAGACAAGTCTGACAAAGCCACCTCTGATTCTAATAACTTGGCTAGTACCTCGGTTACTCTAGTCAGTAATTCTTTCTTTAAAGACGTCTAGTGGCAAACTATCAGACGTGCTACTATCCATCGTATCAAGTTTGAAATACCCTTAACTTTGAAGTGAGTGGGCGACTAATATTCAGGTTCAAACCAGATATTGAACATGTGAAGGCCATAGGCTCATTGAAAGTTTCTCTAAATTGATGTGCCTGACGTTCGTGCCTTCTTCAGATGCTATCAAAAGCCCATCCTTTTCGGCGATGATCTTACCAACCATAGTCTTTTTCGTGATAGTTATTTTATTGAACAAGTAGCTGTCGAGTATCACTCAATGTTGGTTTCTTTTCCATTTATTTAGCTCCCGTCACCCACCAGTGCTCGTAATTTTTGCCGAAACTCAGTTAATTCACGTTAAGCTGTCTTCGCTGTTCATTTCGACCACAGCCAGCTGGAATGAGTCTTCTCGCATCTTGTGGAAGTCCACTGGCTTTCGCTGACATTCGAGTGTAGGTTACTAACTATATTTACTAGTAATTCTACACTAGACTAAGTGTTACGCCATGCTTCTTCAAAAAGGGGTTTGTTTATGTGTTTAGATAAATGCTTAGTCATCTGCTCCCTAAATAAACACTTGAATATCCAGTCAAACAAATACCTAACTACTGTTTGTTTGCTTCTTCCAATAAAATGCAGAGATTTCTCTACGCATTATTTACACCTTTGAGTTTACAAAAAGCGGTCGACGAACACTCGCAGATTCAAAACTTACGTCAGGTGATATTAAGTGAATAACCGCACTTGGGGACTATATGCACGTTACAAAAACGAAACATGCATCAATGGCACGATATTCCAAAAGGTTGGCTAGAGAAGCCCGTCTTACTATTTGGCGTTGGAATTCGCAGTCTACATTTAATAGATTAGGAATGATGCTATGCATATGTTTCTCGAACACAAAATAGATCTAAAATTTTATATCAAGTTTTAAAAATATCATTGATTTAGGTAGACTACAGTGGAGAAACAAGTTTTGATATGCTACTTTCTAGGCACTCAAGCACAGCTTATGAGATATGAACAAGTAATTAGCCTCATCAGTCATGATACTATCCACAACCCATAACATAACGTAATACACAGGTTTGTACACAGTTGGACTACTCTCGATGAACTTTAACTTGAATGAAATAGAATCATATTTAAATTAGCTGAGATTCTAGCTGATACAAAAGACTTGGCCCACTTTAATCTGCCCACACTTTTCTCATGAGGTAAGACAAAGAAAATAAGCCGAGTCAAACTGTGATACAACAATAGCTAGGAGAATATTAGTGAAGATTAAGGCTTTCTCGGCGTTTGACGAAGGTATCTTCATATCGGATATGTCCTGTTCTCAAATGCCAATGTTTGCAGCAGCTGACGTTTTAAACTCGTGTTGTGTTAACCGATGTTCCAAGAGTTCAATTTTTATTCTGAAAACGTTTAGACGTCAATTTATTTGAAGATTCCATTGTATCTACACAAGTGATTGAAATTAAATACCATTCACCATAACTATATGCAAGAAAAGTATTAAACTTGACCGGATTCGAGCCAAAAAGAAACCAAATTAGTTGTGTTTATTACATCAGCTTACATACAAAAGCTAAAATTGAGGCATATTTACAAATAATAGTGAGAGTACACAAATATTAGATTACTCTGGAAGAAACAGATTTTCTGTTCATATTATTCTCGCTTTGATATCATCGAATATAACTGAAGGTCTTACGTACACATATACAAATGAGTGGGCAAAAAAAAAGCAAAATTATACATCACAGGATGACGAGTTTACTTCTCTATACACATTAACTTGCGATGAAGCACATTCATTTTTATAATTCATTCTAACTGAAACGTTGATAGGTTAAGTTAGCATCTGATGTTTGACGTCTTAACTGTGGATGTTTAACAAAGTAATGTATAGTAGACGCTTCCGATTTTGTTTGTTCTACATTGCTGGCTTTCACCATCTTATTATCAGGAGTTGATTGATCCGGTTCAACTGAAACCTGTGTTTTTTGTGCTTTACAATGTCGCAAAGAAAGGTTTCTATTGGGATAAATCAAACATGGTGAACTGTTTGTACTACGACATAGAGGAGTAGTAGGGAAGATATTTTTATTTTCAATGTATATATCAGAATCACTATCGCGTTCTTCTTCACTGTCATCGTCTTCATCTTCAGAGCTAATATCACGACCATGAATTCCTACTGTACACGATGTTACAGCTTGATAATTTGGAGACAAAAGATTTGATCTGGCGGTTGAAATTTTATCATTTGACTCTGTATCTTGATAATCGGATGATACATTATCGATTTTTAGTTTAGGTCTTGAAACTAAATCGCCTTCACGATATGAATCAGCTGTCTTTTTAAAGTTCTTAGACTTCATAAATGATGGTGATAGTGAGTAAGGATGAGTAAAAGATGTAGCCCAGTGTACAAATGTTCGCTTTGTAGGTGAAATGAATTTATTGTTATGATGATGATCACAACTATTAGTATTATCATTTGTTGGCAAATCTAATGTTGCAGGTTTCATGCATGACTGAAGTGAATCACTTGAACTCAGTTGACTGATATCTTTTCTTTCCGCACAGTACGCACACGTGAAGTACAAAGTAATCTAAAAGAAGAGTAAAATCTTCTTTCACTTTGCTTTCTACATTATTTTAAATGGTAAAGTAAAACCTATTTTGACGGTTAATAACACTGAATAGCACTTTTGAAATAGAATACTGAAATGCATTCTTAAAATTGAAACTCAATTGTTGATATTTGAATGACGCAACTACACTACTGGTTAGTTTAAAAAGTGTCGACTGCATTTGATTGCGCTGGGATGTTTCAGTCAGTTTGAAATAAATTCAAATGTTCTATCTGCAAACAAAGTATCCTAACAAAATATATCACTAATTACACTCTTAAAACGCTATCAAACAAGATTTATAGCTTAGGTTGAAGATAACATTGCTTTAGTATTTTCTGAGCTTTGATGTTTCATCGTGTACATTTCATTGCTCAGCTTGATGTTATTATCAGCATTAAATCCATGAAGGAGTGTGACATATTTTAAGGTTATATGAATGTTGAAATGGCGTTTTTCCTGAAGTTGAGTGTCGTTCGATATTAAGTTGCTTAAGGGATTTTTATCAAACATTTAACTTCTATGACTTAATATACCGGAAAAAAATTTCTTCACACGAGGAATGTACATCTCTTGCAGCTCACAACCATGCTTGATTAATAATTTACTTGATCGATTTTCTGTCGAAGAAAGGAGATGACTACTTCTTTTCAGTTGCTTAAAGAATGAGTCTGTTTTCATATATCTACTGATTGCAATTTTATCCAGATCGCTGCCCACCTTCCACATCCCTAACATGTTATCTTCCTCCACATCTCTCAATCAACATTCCTACACCATCTTTAATTTTTTAAGCTCTGCAGCTCCCGTAAACGATATGAGTTCACAGAATAGCATCATTTGTCTCCTAAAACCGAACTCCAAACTACATAATGGAGGCTTTTAATTTCCGAACTTTCATCAAATAGGCTAACAAGCCTTTCTGTCCAAAACCTTAGCTCTTCGAACTACAGGACCCCAGTGAGGTGATTCACTTAACCTTACACAAGAATACGGTGAGTATGCAGAATTCACCCTTTAAATTTCTCGGAACCCGATGGCTAGTTCTCACAGTACTGCAGGCGTAGGCACTGAGCCTGTGACGTGGGCGCGCACTGTTGAGGAGCCCCAAACATGGACGGAACAGTTGTCCAGTCCTCCCAGGTTTCCAATGATTCTCCAAATGATGTCAGTCCATGATGAATATCAACCTGAAACCAATGAATAAATCCCCATAAACGCCTAGACTGAACAATAATGAGACCTAAAAAAAAGTGCACTACTCGACCGGATCCCAACAGACACTCACTCGTTCAACTGAAACTCGCCGTTGTCTCTTTGCAATCTCCGCTTACGCACTCATTGACTGCAGCTTGGATGAGTCCTACCAAAAACTGTCTGCCCTCCTACTGGAAGCCATGGGCTCAGATGAGGTAGTAGTTATTGCAGGTGATTTCAATGTGCTAGTGGGTAGGCTAAGTCAGGCAGAAAGGCACTTGGGTGAGACTTTCGGAATCCCAGCCGAATGAACAGATAATGGCGACCACCTACCACAACAGTGCTCAGATAACCATTTATTTTCAGTCAGCCCAAGCTTCAAACATAGAGGTAAAGTGACCGAGTGGAATAGACGTAGTTAATAACGATACTGAACACAGTGATACCTTAGAAGTGAATGCCAACAAAATTATCCCCACTCAGCACCTGTTTCTTCGCTGAGTCACAAAAATACCAAAAGACAAAGGCTGATCTGTGACTGCAAGGACGACTTTACTTGACAAATTAGCATACATATACAATTCTCACATACATAAAAATGTCCTAGGTCAAAGATAGAATAATACAAGCTTATTGGTTACACCACATACGAAATCGGCCAATAAGATTATTTTGTCCACACATAAACATAAAGCCTGAAACAAAAAACTACTACCCCAACGGGCAATGACTTAAAATATCGATCTTCATTACTACCCGCTTCTTATTAACAGACATTGTCTAAGGTGGCATACACCGAGCCCAACTCAGCGGTGGATACAGATAGGACACTGCTATCAGTCATCGCTGGAGAGGGGCGATGGAAGACTGCCACTACCTCTGGACCCCGTGTTTGGACAGCGACTATGAGCTGGTTTGGTTGCGTGTATGCCTGAGTCAAAATGGAGATAGGAAAACTTAAACGATATGATCGTTACAAGTCCAGCTCGACAATGAGAGCACTAAAGTCGCTTTCAGTGAGAAAATGGTTAGACAGTTATCGGAACTGAACAATATCACTAGTCCAGAAGGAGCTTAGTGGCATCTCAAGTCTGCTGGAAAAACAGCGATGAAGACGGTAGCTGACTTTCAGCGAGTGGTTGAAAATGGCGAGTGGATTTTAGCAGCTCCTAATGAATTAATGGATGCACGCAAAAGTACCACGGCAGGCTGCGAGTACAATGAGGGGCGAATGCAGCTCAAACGTAGACTGACAAAAAGTTTACCCAATGACCGCGAACAGTGGTTGGCAGCGAAGGCCAGAGATGGAAAAGGAAGTGACGATAGGTAACATTAGACAGTTATTTAGATTTATTATGGAAACTAGGATGAAAAGGTCAGTGGTTAGTGGGACTACAACGGAGAAGGATGGGCATGTCATTCGCTTGCAGGGGCAATGACTGGAACGATGAGTGGGACACTTTGAGGAACAATTGAGTTGACCCCCAGCTACCACTGCGTTGTCTGCAATCCAGTCAGAGCCTGAAAAGCAAATCAAGAAAGGACCTCCAAAACTTGTAGAAGTCAAGAAAGCCGTAGGTAACCTAAAACGAGGAGGAGCATCAGAGTCAGGTGGGCTAGTTGTACAGATATTTAAGGATGGTGGACTGAGGTGTTAACTAGTTTGTGGGAGTCAGATATGCTCCCCCTCTGACTGATCTTAATCACTTATTGTCCCATTATTCTTCCTGTGACAACCACAGAGCAATTATATTGACACACAGTATCTAAGATTCTAGGTTCAATAATCACTAGACGTCTGAATGGAGCTCGTGGACATCAAGTCGAGGAAAGCCAGCCAGGCTTCGGACTTGGTCATGAGTGTATCGACTAGATACTCATACTTCACCAGGTTCTTAAAAACACATGCACACTTACCAAAGCAAGACACTAGAGGCATTTCTCGACCCGAAGACGGCGTTTGACTCCGTCGACCGAAAGGTTTAATGGTGATGTCACTCACTGGAACGTGTATGCGCAAGTACACCACTCTGCTAAAGGATCTGCACCCGAATACCCACAGGAGTGTTAGAGCCGTTAGTGAGTTTTTAGATGAGTTGTGTACGTCGAGTGTTGTCCGTCAAGAATGTACACTTTTTCCGTTCCTCTTCAACTTCATCGTACAAGTAGATATGCAGGTCTGCCTCTCACCGTTTGATGTAATAACACGGGAATCCTTGGTAGATCTAGAATACACAGACGACAAAGTGCTGCTAAGGGAAGACACTGAAAGGATTCAGAGTCTTCTGAACGCCTTGAGTGGGATGCGTTTCTCCCAATGCAAATGCAAATGTCTGCTCCAGTACTGGTCTTACGCGGTGTCTCGGCTGACGACAGAGAGTAAAGTGGGTGGATGCACTGACCACTTAACTGAGGAAGATTAGACCTGGTAAGTGGTCGACCAAATGTCTGCACGGATACAAAAAAGCTCGACTGGTTTCTGCCAACGTATGCGATTAATGTCGCCAGCTTGATACCTAAATGTCTTTTAAAGGTTTAAGTGCACTGCGCTACACTTCGCCTTTTTCAACTATCGTCTGTGAAACGGCTACTAAAAGTAGCAAACCCGAGAAGGCTTCTGGTGTTTGATCACCGTCCCTTTCATAACATCGGCCGTGTATTACCAAGTTACCATGTCACTGACGCAGAAGTTTTAAGTAGGAGAGGGAAGCCAGTTGTGAAGATTTATCCGCTAACGTGTCTAGAAGATGCATTACGCATACCTAGTCACTGCCTGTCTCATTGCAAAATGTTGCCTGAAATATATTTTGGCCGGAAAAAGGGTGGGAAGGGACGAACTAAAACATGGCAAAAGTCTATAAAGTCGTTGACTGTTGGTCTGAACCATGTACGGAAATGGGAACTAGCGGCTGGGGTCCACATGACAATAGAAACCAGTGGTTGGAGACTGTGATATGGCCCAGAATCGATCTCAGTGGTACAAATGTATCTATTAACTTAATCTTAAGCCCCATAATGAATTTAGTACTTTCCCATTACTCCTTCCTCTTTTTTACTGCTTTTGACTGATTTTTCTTTATTTTTTCATCCTCCATCTCATTGTTTCAGTACTTCTTCTGCTGATGAGTTGTGGCAACTTGGACCGTTACGCAGTAATACCTCGTCCTATGTTGATGACGATGTCATTTTGTCAGAATGTAAGGATTATAGAAGTTCTCTTGCAGTTTTGAAATAGCTTGCAGTAGGATTTCTACATTCTCGCAACCAAAGTTGAAATTGCTTACATGTAATGCGACAAGAGTAATGTACCACTCTGTTTAACTGTCAGCTGATGTCTGTGAAGTCTTTAGATAACCCAGTGATGAGACTGACCAATGCAGTATTGTCGACAACCTTTACAGTTGACTTTTAATAATTCATACTTGTTTTATCCTCAATTGCCGTCTGGTTTTTCGCTTTGAACGAGAGGATTTGTAGTAATTTCGTTGGTCTGAGTGCCACTTCGATTAAAAATGAGAGAAGTAGACAGACAAAATCAACAAAAGGAGTCTTAAACCACTGGTTTCTGTTGTCGTGCGGACAACAACAACCAGGAAATCTATATTTTCCTATACCTTATTACTACCAAACTGGAACTACAAGCAATACTGAGGCATCCGTACAGGAGCCCATATGCCAATAAGGATCGATCAATTCGGCCCAGTCAACAACCGGGAATTACAAACAATAACACAAGTCATTTATTATTTCTAATAACGTTTGTAGCCTTTAGCTGACCTGAACCAATTCAGATGACACAACTCATACCAACAGACATTAGCTTCTTTCCGAAGTAAAGTCTGATGAGGTTCGCCCAGCCATATAATGAAACATCCTAAGACAAACCTCGGAAAACACCAAGCCACTATAAGGCTTAATATAATTACTATAGGATGTGGTCCGTCGGTAAAGGCCGTCGACTTTCAACTAATGAAGTTGTGGATCGGAAAAGTTACTAAATATACCAGTTTTTGAGCAGGTAAGTTGCATCATTAACCCTAAAAATGAAAGGTTTAAATTATAGTCTAGTGTCTAAACATTAAGTGATTACTAAACTCAGTAACATACATTATTAATACATGTAGTCTGATTTTGACTTACACCCCACTCTTACTTCAGTCAGTTTAAATAAGTAATTACTAAACACGTGAATACCTGAAACTAGGTTTTTTTGGAAGGGAAATATTGTTTGTATATACTAAAGGATTTAATTCGATCTAAATACAGGCGAGTTTCAACCACAGAGATGCTACTTGGAACGTGTATTGGCAGTAAACTATGTCATCTTATAACCTTATATTCCTTCCTGACAAAAAAGAAATACTTAGCCACAACATAATAAAAAAGGACACTAACATCGTTCAAAACATAAAACTTACACTACAATCTGATGTTAAAAATTTTGACTTCCCCTTGTAAGCTTTGTCTAGTTCGGGGAGTGATAATTTTAAAATTGAGTACCCCGGTAGTGATCCTTGAGATGGTGATGGAAATGCACAGGTGCAATGGCCAGTTTCGAATGTTCCCTATAACAGCGAAAGGAAATTACCATTTTCATTTTCTGTTCAGATGTTTTAAATCGCATAATTATTAATTATAGTAGAATTTCATACAGACCATATTTACACTAGGCAAATTTTAAACTGTTTCCTACCAAAAAATTCCATTTGTCCATCACTTTTTCATGCTAGCTTAAATATGCAGCGTAACTGGCAAGCTTTTATTTTCGAACTGAACAATAACATTAGAGTGCAATTTAAAAGAAAGAAGTATCTTGTTGTCCTAGTAAATGTTATTGTGATGAGAGTAAAAGCCGACTACTGTGGCAGAATACAATACCATATTAGTTTGTGTATTCACTTGTTAAACGGCATCAAGGAAATACGATTATAAAGAAACCATCATCGATATTCCCGTAAAAGCAATTCATATATCAACACTAGCTGCGCATTTCAGTCTGGTAACCTGAATAAACAGAAGTTCACAATGTGTAAGTATATCCACTAAATATAGACACAACGTTTACAAATAAATAATTAGGTTAATTGACATTTTTTTAATGGAGAAAAAGCAAACACAATTTTTAATCGCTTAATTAAAAATTACCTTGGAGTCAGATATGCAGTTAGATGATTTTCCATGAACCACAAAGTATGTATTGAACCATAGCTGACATATTTTCTAGAAATTGTAATTAATAATATACGATACAATATTATAAAGTATAGAAGTGGTGATAAAGCGACTATCATTAATACAACTGTTTATCACAATAAATAAACTTAAGTGGGGTGAAATGATTAGACACCCACCACCCTATGCCCAATTAAACTCCCCATCAAGTGAGATAGATGGCATGAGATTTGAATCCATGATTTGATAGTTAAAACCAAGATGTTTAATGCACAGAATCATACCATGAACTAATATTTTGAGGCATAAATTCAATTTTGACAATGATTGTCCCAAAAAATTGCGAAGAACTGAAAAGGAAGTTCTATTCACCCAATAACCAAATTAGTCTACAGCGACTACAGATACGAAAAGCAAAACCTTAGGTAGAAAAAAGATCACAAGCGTAGGTCACAAAAACAAGTATAGCAAAACTTGGGTTTCATCGAAAACAAAAACGTTACCACACTGCAATCATCTTTTTTATGATTAAACCGGTTTGTTCTGATATTTGAAGAATAGAAAGGACCCATTGACAGTAAAAGAACTTGACAAGTTTCTGCGTTTTCCCATCCGAATTGCGAAGGGGGATTAGAAAACTTCATTCCTGAAATGTTCAGACAGACATGAAAATCTCAAAATGTTTTGTAAGAATTTAAGACGCAATCATATCTCTTCTGATTCACACACTTTGAAACGATACACTCTGAACCATATTAACGATGTTATATCTTGATCACCAGAACTGCATCTGTCTCAAAAGTGCCGAATTCCCTTTATCTACAGACGATAGGAAAGAATTTGACAGACAGAATAAACGGAGAACCTCACACACAAGTGCATCGGCTCAAGTTGACACACTTGACAATAGTACACAAGGAACAGCAGAGTAGAACAAGAGTTATATCTAAGAAGATAAATTTAGGCGAGAGAATAAACAACTTCAAAATAAAGGTGGGTGGAAATACCCAAGTTTTAGATGTCAAAGAGTGAATATATATTGTGACCGGTTTTCAGCCATTTCACCAAGAGTTCTCAACCACTGATTATTTCATCACGGGTACCCCAGCTAGACAGTCTACATCTCTTCATATGACTCACATTGAGAGTCGGAGATTTCATCGACTGGTGCCGTGTTCGTCTGTCCACTTTGGACGCTTTTGAAATTTAATCCAACTTCCCGCAGCATGGCATGTCGAGGTAGGTGGTGGATAGGCATGCGCAGTACATGTGTTCAAGCCATATCAGTCGACTAAGGTTCAAAACCTCTTCAATTGACTTGCATGTCTTGCCTAGTACCCCTATGCCTGACCTCAACACTGTTCACACAGTGATTCCACCAAACTTAAGAAATGCTACGAAGATATCTGTGATCAGAAACCTGTGACCCCCTGATATTTCCTACTTTCAGCGGCCATATCATAGCTGTACAACAGGACAGAATGGACAGTAGTGAAGTATACTCGTCGTCTGACACATAGTCGGATACCTTGCAAGTCGGTGCCACAAATGAGGCAAGTTGAGAACTGCTAAACGAGCCTTCTGTATCCGAGCTGAGATCTCATCAACCAAACCTTTCGGGCTGATGCAACTCCTCAAGTAAGTGAAGTGGTCGACACATTTCACTGTTTCACTCCTCATCATTTAACTGGGAGTGGTTGCAGATCAGTCCTGGGGCATCGGCTTACATTTGACAGATGTGAAATGCATGCCGAAGATACTCAGATTTCTTTCCTACGCGTCCACAAGACCCTGAATTTAATCAGCATCTTTAAGTAGCAGGACAATATCGTCTGCATACTCTTAATCAACCAAATAGACTCCAAAGGGTAGATCAATGCCTGTGAGGTCAGATGCACCTAAGGTTATGTCCAGCAGTATGTCTATAACAAGGTGACAGCGGACATCCCTGGTGGATGCCACTAGTCGTCAATTCACATAACAACTCTCCATTAGCTGTGACATAGCTGTGTGAGTTCGAGTAGAGAGCTTTGATAAGCACTGTACACTTGGTAGATGTCAGCCGCTTGTGGGTATGTCTGTGTTCCATAACTTCTAGCAGGGTAAAATTATGATCAGTGTACCCTCGTCCAGGTCTAAAATTTTGCTGTTCTCAAGTTCCAGTTACCCCATGGATAACTATGGGACCCTAGGATCTTGGACACAATAATAGTCAACCTAATAATAATAATAATTCATTTTCCTCTGCAGTTGTCACAGGTAGACTTCTCTCGTTTCTGATCCATTGAGATGATCAGTGAAGTACGCCGGTCTGGCAGAACTACCTCTAATTCCTATACACTACCAAATACCTTCGTCACTTTAATTAGCAACTTCATACCTCTATCCTAGAAAATTTCAGGTGACAAACTGTCACGTCCCGCTGCTTTGCATCGTTTCAGCTTCGATACAGGTTCCTCAACTTCAAGAAGAGTTGGAGGACCGTCTCATTCAAGTTCAGGCTGGACGTTTGGAAACTGAAGCGTTGCTGACGGCCAGTTGAACTGTGCTTCAAAGTGTTCTGCCTAGTGTTCAAGCCGCCTGTCCTAGGAGGTTATCAGCGTTTCAACCTTTTCGGTGATGATATTTAGCGAGTGTTACCCAACCCTGATGCCTTTTTCATCTCTGTTTCTTTCGTCACTCACCACTGCTCGCGGTTGAAGCGAAGATTCTAGGTCAACTTACGTTTGAGTTGCTTTCGCTCTTCATCGTGATCGGAACCAGCTGGAATCTGTTCTCGTATCAGTCAGATCGAATGACAGTGTGGAAATCCAATGATGTTTGCTAACTTTCGGGTGTTAGCTACCAATTGCCTTTACCGCTGTTTCTACAGTAGACTTGACATCACACTAGGTTTTCTCAGGATGAGCATTGTTATACTGTTCAGAAAAGTGCTTAGCTAGCTCGTCCTTAAATCCGTACTTTACGCCCTCGTCTTCCAATCGAGTACAGACAGGTTTTACTATCGCCTGCTTCCTGTGACCAGTAAGGTGTAGGCATGCGTGAGGACGTACTAATGCATTATCCGAGTCCAAACTAGTACTCCATAAAGAGCGGCGATACTACACCGATCCTCTCCAAAAATGGCTTATAACAATGCAATCCATCTATGTCTATCATTGGTTTGATGCCGGTGGATGCTGTGTGAGAAAGTGTCTCTCCTTATGCTTAAAGTTAGTGCTGGTAGAAGCAAGCGATCGTCGGAATAAAATTGCAAAAAACGATCACCAGTACGGGTTCATTAGGATGAGATTCCGTAAATAGCCGCAAGACGCCTTTCTGATTGACTAAGCTTCCTTACTTGAGCGTTAAAGGCACCTGCCATTATGATTACCACTGAACGTTTTGCTTTCTGCAGTAAAATTGATAGATTTTGGTAGAATTTATCATTTGCATCATCTGAACTCCAGTCAATGGGTGTGTAAGCGGAGATTACGAATAGGCATCGCCAGGTCTCACTATCCTTTCACGTCCTTGCAGATCCGTTCAGTTGAACAGCACATAAACGGCTGTTGATTGGGTATATAGTCGAGAATTGTATTTCTTGGCCTACGGCTCAATGCTACGTCTACACCAGCAAGTCCATCAGAGCTAACTATTGAGTCTCCAAATACTCGTAAGGTGAATTTTAAGGATTTACTACTATGACTAGGGGAGATCAATTTAATAACCACACTAGGATCCTGTATACACGTCTCAGAGAGGTAGCGTACAAAACTCAAGGGAGGCCGGTCACCCACACCCTTTTGGTAAGTTTATTTACTTTTGAACCTCACTATGAATCCCTGTTGCAGACATCTGTATGCCGCAAAGAGATGAGAATGTGCTCATTTTGGCGCCGACATTTCTTAGCCCTCCCGACTAACCATAAGGAAGGTAGTATCATTGTTGGACTGCTGGTCATGCAAGGAAAACGCCTTACCATTGTTACACCCCCGTCCAGTCAATAGTACGACTTCACCCTAAAACCCTCATCACAAAGAAGTGCTTTAAACTATAATGGTAACTGCTTTTTGTCTAACCGCTATCCAACAGACCTTTCTGCTATGGTAGGACCTCGAGGGAACAAGCGTCCTACCAGCATAGCTCGTCGGGTCATTATGATATACAAGCCCAACAACCACATCAAGGTAGCCGCTATAGGTCGAGAATTTGACAACTACTTTGCTACTACTGCTAAGGAACGCACTGATGACGTTAATATAAAACTGAATAATAGCCTGAAGTCAATAACCCGTGGTAGTATTTCCCCCCTACTGCCCAAGAAAATACATAACTATTAAAATGTGTCACTATTCTCAATCGAAGTACAGGTCTAATCCCTTGGTTCAAAATTCTGCAAAACAACATCCAAAGTTGATGAGCTCAACTCTAAAGTCCAGTTAGGGAATTTAATTATCCAAACGAAAGACCTAGTTCCAATTTCACCTAATGATCATAACAATTTCAAATTAACTCATTTAAGCTTTAGGTTGGCATATAGATTACGTGAGTAGAAAATCCAACACTAGACATCTATCAAAGGAACATTGGAATCAGTTAAGAGATCTCCTGAAAAATGAAGATTTAGTCATCATACACCGTGATATATGGGTTGGAATAGGGAACAAATCAAATTATATAGATAAGCTTTCACTCATTTCGTCAGATGAAAACAAATTTTCGAAATAGACACTTCAAAAAGATCCTGCCGAAGAAACAGAACATCAACTCTTCAAGACAATGAAGATGAAAGATGAAGCACTGATCACCACTGAACACTACTAACAACTTCACCCATCAGGTTCTTCAATTCCGATACCAGACATGACTAATTCTCTTTACCATTTAGACGTAAAACGGAGTATTGAGATATCTGATCTAGTGAAAAATGAAGTTTTGAAAAATAGATTGCGAGACACATTTCACTTTGTTGGTTTAACCAAGAATGTCAATCTTTCAGGGAACAGGATGATTTTTCGGGATGTCACACTAACGGAAAAAAATTGTTTCCTGTGTGACTTATTCAA